GTACCTGCCTCTCTTCACAGCTGAACAAGTGGGCAGCTTCCAAATTGATATTAAAATAATGGCTGCAAGAAACAATTTTAAAACATAATTTCCATTTAAATTTGAATATTTACTTAGGACTGATTTTTATAAGTGATCAAAATACTTAAGCAGTTTAAGTGACTTGATATAACAAAATGCACTCCAGAAACATTATGCTAATTGGCACTCCCACCAACAGAGTATAGAAGTATTTATGTGACTTCAGTTTTAACTATGCTATTTCTCCCCTTAGCTAATGCAGATATTTTCTATATTTTTATATAAACACATTGATATAAATAAGATGTTTATCAGCATATACATACCTATATGTACATTTGTATATATTTTGTACACACATGCACATATATTATTATGTTTATCTAAATAACCTTAACGATCTGGACACAACACAAATGTGAATGGCCAGCATGGTGGTGGACACCTGTGATCCGCTGCTCCAGAGATGAAGGCAGGAGGACCAGGAGGTGGAGGTCATCTTCAGCTACATAATGAGCTGGAATGCAGCCTGGCTCATGAAATCTTGCCTCAAGACAAAACATACACAATGATTATTCTTCATAAATGCGGCAGGGTGTTTATAGTTCCCTTCCACAAGGTCATGATGGTAAAGGTAATGCCTTCATCCCCTGCTTAAGATAAAGGCAAAGGAAGCCAACATTTACAAAGCAAACTACTAACTTGCTACACAGCGTTTTAAAAAATGAGTCAACGAATGAGCCACTCTACCAGTGCTGATTCCACTCTTAGAGCAGCTAGCCCATTCTATTAAGTAACATGAGCCAACTTCACCAAGGAAGGAAACACCCTTAATGATGTTAATTAGCTTACCCACAGGCATGCCATTAATAGGTGGTAGAACCAGGATCCACACCCATTCCTGCCTCAGCTGCAAATCTCTGATTTCCTTCCTGCGAACTATATTCCTGGGAGGTGAAGGAGGGGGGAAGGGGGAAGGAGAAGAGAGGACTCTTGAATGGTCAGATCATCTTAGATTATTGAAAGGATAAAGTCGAAGGGGAGTCTGTTGTTCCCAGAGACTGCTCCCTGGTTTCCTCAAAGGAAGCCACTCTTACAGGTATCAGAGCTCTGGCCTGCTCCTCCTCTGGACACCAGGTTTCCACCACAGAAAACCAGCTGCTGGCAGCCTATTTCTAGTCTCTAGAGGACCACGGTCTCTTAGGACAGTTTGCACGGAGGCAGCATTTGTTCTGCATTCCAGAACCTAGAATCTATAGACCTTGCTTGGGACTGGCATTAAAGATAGTGGCATGTGGATTTTAAAATCACCTGCTCTTGAGAACTGTGATAGAGCCTCCCTAATTCCTCTGCCTCCTCCTCCTCCAGCCCCACCCCCTACCCTAGCCCCGTGTCTCCTCCCCTTCCTCCTCTTTCACCCGCTCTCTTTTGGATGTCACCAGTCTGTCTGCTGTAGTTTGGATCTAGAATGTTCCCCAAGGCTCATGCTTGAGGCTTACTCCTCAGCACATTGGATAGAGCTTTTAGGAGGTGGCCTAGCGGCTGGACACGGAGCTCAGCTGGCAGAGGGCCTGCTTCCGTAACACACACAGGGTCTGGGTTCACTAGTCAGTGAGTCAAAATAAATAAACCTCACCTCTCTTGAGGGTGATGTCTTGGGAATATCATTAGAGTGATGGGAAGCTAAGGATACAGTGACAAGAAGAAGCTACCTATGTGTTGGTAGGAAGACTTCTGCCACCCCTTCCTCATGACCTGGGAAGCCACTTGGTGACTTCTGTGACCTACCCTGCCTGAAGTACTCGGCTGAAAGGGCTTCCCACTTTCTTTTTCTTTTTTCTATTTTTTCAAAGTGTGTGTCTGTCTGTCTGGGTCTGAACTTATGTGTCTGTGTGTTTGTAGAGGTTTGGGTACATGAGTGCAGATGCCCCTGGTGGTCAGAAGAGGGGATTAGATAACCTGGAGCTGGATCACCATGAGCGCCCGGAGCTGCTCACCACGGCTTCTCTGAAAGAGCAGTATGCACCCCTTAACCTCTCAGTGGTCTCTGCAGCCCCAGTTTTTTCTACTTTCTACAAGCTTTCCACTTCTGGCACTCATCCAACAGACATGCTTGAGGGGCCTTACCTAGGGAAGGCAGGATGGAAGTGACTCCCTTTGGGCCAGTCTCGGGGACTGCTGAGGTGGAGTTAGGGTTAGCCTGTTTCTCTTTCCTCTAGAAGTGTTTCTCTTTCCTCTAGAGCTGCTTCCCTGGGGGAAGCAGCTCACACCACTATCACACTGTGGCCCAGAGGACCCATTCTCTAGGTCATACCCATCCAGAAGCTTTCCACATCGAAGAGAGGGAATTTGACTTTCAAATTTTCTCATAAATTTAGTTATTTTTATATATTTTAAAAGTTATGACTAAAATGTTAAACCAAACCTAAAATTTGCCATTTTGGCTAACCTTCAATGTATAGATCGGAGGCACTTAATACAGTCACAGTGTACAGATGTCACCACTGTCCATTTCAATAAAAGTTCTCAACTTTCTAAACCAAAACTCAACTGATATGCAACACTGACCTGCAGTGATACATAGTTTATAATCTAAGAAATAAAACTTGGCTGAAGATCAGAGGACAGAGCCAGCCACAGAGTTAGCCACAGAGGTCAGGCAGTGGTGGCACACACCTTTAATCCTAGCACTCAGGAGGCAGAGGCAGAGATCCCCCTGAATTTCTATGAGTACAAGGCCATGCTGGGCTACATGAGATTAATCCAATCTAAAGGAGAAACAGAGCCAGGCAGTGTTGACACACACCTTTAATCCCAGCACTAGGAAGGTTGAGACTGGAAGTGATATGGCTGGGCAGAGAAAGGAATATAAAAGCAGGATGAGACAGGAACTCTGGCTCTTTTCAGGCACTCTGTCAGGCTGAGGAGTTGGTGAGGTAAGAGGTAGTGGCTGTGGCTTGCTCTGCTTCTCTGATCTTTCAGGCAAGTTTTATTTCTTACATTATAAAGAATATATCACCACACTGACCCCTGGCAACTACCACTCTATTATTTTATTTTTAATCTTTGTGTGTACTGTGTGTGAGGTATGGGAGTGTGGGCAGAGGTCGGAGGAAAGTAGGTCTACACCTTCCACCTTGTTTGTTTGGGGTAAGATCTCTTTGTCATTTGCAATTGCTTACCCCAGAGAGCTTCTGGGAGTTCTCATGTCTCTGCTCCCCTGATCTCGCTGTAGGAACCCTGGGATTGCAGACACATGCTACCACACCTGGCTTGTTCACGTGGGCTCTGGAAATCTGAAACAAGCCCTCTTGCTTGTCAGCAAGTGCTTCTTCACCCATTGGTCCACAGCCCTGCCTTCTGTTGCTATGGATGACAAGCGTGGGGACTTGGGAGAGGCAGAAGGACACAGGATTTGTCCTTTTGAGGCTGGCACATTTCACTGAACATAATGTCCTTAGGGCTCACCCTGGCTGGAGCATGGGTCAGGATCTCCTCTATTGCAACTGTGTGGATACACCATAGTTTGCTTATCCAGGCATCCCCAGTGGACTCTGGTCATTAGTTTAACAAACACTCTTTGTGCCAATGATGAGGCAAGCATGGTATTTGCCGCTGGCCACATGATTGCTGTGGACACAGTAGAGCCTGGACCTCAGAGGGGAAGCACTACTGAGCAATCATGCAGAAAGAATGTTTCCTTCTTGTTTGAAGAAATAATTATTGCATAGATTGTTCTCCACTTATGTGACCCTGACCATTTTTTAAAAATCCTTCCCATCTGCATGGACATGAATTAGTAAGCTGTGGGAAGAGTTGTGGAAAAGCTTGAAAACCACCGTGCATGGCATGAGTCTTTAGGGAAAGCAGGTTTTAACTGCAGATCTGACAGCTCTGCTTGTCTCCAGCCATGCTGTTTCTGGTTCCAGAAGAAGCCACGGCTGCAGAAGCGTCTCTGCGTGCTGGGAGGACAAAGACCCTGTACTTTGCCCATCCCCAGGGGCAATGACTCCAGTGCCCAGCACAGTTGTCAGTGACACCATGTGTCTCTGGCACATCTAGGCTCTTGACCCCCTTCTCCCTGGCTGTTGTTCATTATGAGCTCTACAAAGTTAAAACCTTTGTTTTGTTATCTGAAACAGGGTCTCAGTGTGTGCAGGCCTGCCTTCAATTCGTTATATAGGCCAAAATGGCCTTAAAATCATGAGCCCTCTGCATTAGCTTCCTAGGTGCTAAGATTTGTCTAGTTACATTGGTTTTTTTGTTTGTTTTTTCTTCCCTTTTTTTTAGAAATAGAATCTCATGTAGCCCTGGCTGGCTGTGTAGCTAAGAATGGCCTTGAACTCTGATCATCCTATCTCTGCCTTTTGAGAGCTGGGGTTACAATCATGCTCCACCATGCCTGCTTCATCCAGTGCTGGGAACTGAACTCAAAGCCTTGTGCATGCCAGGTAAGCATTCCATCAGTTAAGCTGCATCCCCACCCTAAACTGTATGTCTTAGAAACGTTCTTCAGTTTGTCACAGGGCTCTGTGATAAATTCTGGAATGTGTAGTAAGGGAATAGGCTTCCATATCAGAGGACTATGGGAGGTGTCCCTACCTGCTGCCCAGAACTTCCTCAGCATCACAGGTGCTGTTTTTCTCACTGAGTATTTGACTACTGAGTTATTCGAGATCTCCCTCTTGTGGGCCATCAGTGAAGTAAAACACACCAGTTACTCTTAATAAATGTGATGAGTATTATAGGTGTGAATCAATTGCTATGGACTCTGTAAATGATCAAGACCCTTAAATGTTTTTTATTATGGGCTATTACTAACACAAAATGTGCATAGCATGAAATATAAAAACATGTCTATGCCAGGCGGTGGTGGCGCACGCCTTTAATCCCAGCACTCGGGAGGCAGAGCCAGGCGGATCTCTGTGAGTTCAAGGCCAGCCTGGGCTACCAAGTGAGCTCCAGGAAAGGCACAAAGCTACGCAGAGAAACCCTGTCTCGGAAAACAAACAAACAAACAAACAAAAAAAACATGTCTATAAACCAGCTTTACCAAATCTTAACAGTTATCCTATATTTATTATTTTTTATGTATTTATGCATTTGTGTATGCACATGTGCATGCCTCATTACCTATGTGGAGGTTAGAGGACAGCTTACAGGATTCAATTCTCTCCTACTGTGCAGGTCCTGGGAATCTGAATCAGGTCATCAGGCTTGGTTGTAAGCGCCTTTACCTGTTGAGTTACCTTGCTGGCCCCATGTTTATTATAGATCTATTATCATACCACCTTCTACAGTTTGAATTTTATTCTGAATTTGTATTTATTGCTCACATGCTTATTCTTAGACAGCTACATACACGTGTGTCAATATAATACAAGCTATTATCTTACAGGCTTTCAATCTTCAGAAAAGAAAATTGCCATACTATGCATTCTTTTGTAATCACTTTTTCCCTTCAAATTACACTTCTGAAGTTTATTCCTGTGACTATTTCATTGCTTTTCCTCCGAGGTATGCATTCTGCACATTTCCTAACAAGACCTTTGAATTTTTCAATTTTTAAGAGAAAGAGGTAATGAAAAAAAAATCAACAGAGCTGATCCACCATCTAAACCTCAACATCTATTTGAATTAAAGATAAAGGTGATGAGTACTTTCTGTCTTCCTACAGGAAGGATGTAGACCCTCAGGCTGTGTTTTAGACCTGTTCATGTTTACTTTACTTGAAAAGGAAATGACTTCAAAACAGAGCAGTCAGAACAAATTCTAAGAGAAAGTTAACCAGTGTCGCACAAGTCCAGAGGAAGCCAAGCAGGGCCGATGTGGAGTGAAACAGCTCCTCAGACACCCATCTAGGAGCAGTCAGTGAAGAAGGAAGCTTCCTACATGAACCAAAGGATACGGTTCTGCAGTTTTATGCAACTAAAGTGCGGATATATACACTGAAAATATAATTGACATTTTGATCTTAACTCTAGGAAGCTGAAAAAGGAAAGGGGTATTGACATCACGGTACCTTAGTACCCTGGGTACCACTAAAGAGGGTACTTCTTAGTTCCCATCTTTGCACCTGACATTGTCCTGCTTAGAACACTCTTCCCATAAGAATTCTAACCATCCTCTTCAGGACTTCAATTTTTTAAATTTTTTATAGGAGAAGAGAGATCCATAACTACTTAAGTCAAATGCACCTGACTGTGATAAAGATATAAAACAGGACAAATGAATGGTTCAGAGGGACAGGATAGGGAGAGACTCATCATTGCATGTGGCAGCCCAGAAATCAGTGGGAAAACAATGAGCTATTTGCAGGGTTTGGGAGGATGCTTCAACGGAGAGAGAAAACCCTCAACTCCAAAGGACTATTCCAACTAGACTGTGGAACATGAAAGACAAAACGGAAAGTTAATAGAATGAAATGTTGACTAATTCTGTTGTGACTCAAGGTTAAGGAAGAAATTCTTAGATGAAATTTCAAAAGCACAAACTATAAGGCAAGGACCAACTTCATCAATAATTTTTATTGTGCCAAAATTAAAGACTTCTACTTGACCAAGGAGCCATTGACAAAGTAGCCAGGGAGAGGACAGAAGGAAAAAACTTTGAGTGTCCAAGGCTGACAGAGGAAAATGGGAAAAACTCAAGGATCTCCTATAAGTAAACAAGGAAAAGGCAATAACACAGGCTGAACATAGACTATGGCAGGATCCTTATCCAATGTGTGTGGATGGGCCTGGGCTCAATCCCTACTACCACACACACACACACACACACACACACACACACACACACACACACACACACACACACACACACGGCGGCGGGGGGATGACGACAGAGAGAGAGAGAAGACAGACAGAGACAGAGACACCACAGTAAAGACAAAAAGAAGAGATTCATCTATTCTCAGTTGACAGATGACACCCAAAGACAGTCAAACATGAAAGAAGCTTAGTTCCTCTAGAAATCAGAGAAATGCAAATCAAGACCACATACCTTTGCATCTCCTTGAGGTGGGCTCCTGCCATAGAGGCATGGAACAAGAAGCATGGCTCAGGATAGCATGGGGAAGACTGCCAACAGCTTAGTGATAGGGGAGAGGAGAACTAGATAGGGACACTTTCTTATTCTATATTATAAAGATACTCTTGTGCTCTATATTGTAGAAAGGAACCAGCACGTGTAGGTCACTAATAGCATCTACATACTGTTATGTGTGTTTGTCTGTTCTGAGTCAACCTTAGTCAACTCAGACGTCCCTGTAACAAGACTGATCCAGCACCTAACTTGACTCAGTGTTTTAAGAAGTGCCAAGCCCATATCCACAGAAAGAGGGAACAACATAAGGAATGATAAGAAGGGAAGCCCAGATAACATAAGTCTCAGAAATGTGGATGACCACCTGAGCAAAGGGGCAAGAATGAGTTCCAGATGATTGCTGCCTCTCTAATCTGCTAGCCGGAGATGAAATGGAGACAGATTTCTGGGATCGTAATCCATTGTAGCTCTCTGAATAAAGCAAAGTTTGAAGATTCACTTCCCGTCTCTGCTCATTATCATCTGTGACTGACAGGCAGCAGGTACTCTGGGATCTCATCTGCTCAGAAGGATTTCCTTCCTCCCAATCTGCATTTGGCAACTGGAAGATCAAATCAATGATTTTAAATCTAGAATAAGGATAGGAAGTAGAGTAGAGTGAGAGAGCTGGAAGGGCCCAGGTGCTATCAGGAAGGAGAAGCTTCCAGAGGATGCTGGGGTAGAGAGGAAACCAGGGGCACTCAAAGAACTGAGTCAGTGATGCTGGGGAGGGACCAGAGGGCCCAGGATGGACAGAAGCATCCTGGCTCTGGGCGGATTGAGGACTTCTCTGTTGTTTTTGTTTTTCTGTAAATTTGCTGAATTTCCTTCCAAGAGCCCTACTATGTCCTATCTCCATCCAGATTCTCCACTCCAGCCCTTGGCTTTATCAGCTCAGTGGACCCCGCACTCTCTGACAGACAATCATCAAAAGGCAAAGTGTCCTGAATATGGACTAGGGCTGGAACAGAGCAGGACTTTAGCTTACAGTTGAAAGGAGGTAGTCCATCCAAGCCTGGCATCACGTGCCTGTCATCCCAGCATGTGGCTAAGCCAGGAGGACCATGGATTCAAGACCAGTCTGGACTTTAAATACAGACCCTGTTGGGCTGGAGAGATGGCTCAGCTGTTAAAGGCTAGGCTTACAACCAAAATATCAAAGACGCCTTCAGACTTGCAATAGCTAAGATAGTTTAGCTCCTACCCCTCTTTCTCAGGATGATTCTGAGTATGTGCCACACCACAAGGACTAAGTTTAGAAGGCAAGATGGGCAGGAAGTTCTGGAGAAAGATGCAGGGCATGAGGGAGGATCTGGGAGGCCCAATAGGCAGCCAGCTTAGACCAGATCATAGCTTCGGAAAGACCAAAAGGAAGACACAGGGGGAAGAGGGAAGAAGGGGGAAAGGGGGCAGCCCCCCTTGCTTGGTGATCCTTATCAGGCTTCTTGTGTCTTTAACCCTGCGTGTTAACCCAAGGCCTGACCTCCCCGGAGGCAGCCAGGCTGTCCAGAGTGGGGCTCTAGGAGGCCTAGTCAGTCAGTGTTATGTGTGAGTGAGAGAATTCACTGGGCTTTTAGTCATTAAGCTTAAACGATTAGAAAATTTAGAATATAAGGAAGCTAAGTATGGTGGATATACCTGTAATCCTAGGCCTGGGAGGTGGAGGGGATTGAATCAGGAGTCCAAGGTCATCCTTAGATATTTAGTAAATTCAAGGTGAGACCCAATCTCAAAACAAACAAACAGTATGAAGAATATTCTTGGAAAGCCTCTTCCCTCATCTGCCTCCAGCTTCCTCCTGTGTGAAATGACCACAGGTCAAGATGATTCTCTAAGATCTCCTCCAGCTTGGATATTGTATTATTTTAAGAAAAAGCTGAGAAGATTTTAGAAAACTGAAAATGCAATTATTTTAGAAACATGTCAGCAGAAGGTGGCAATCCATTTCAGCTTCCCTTGTGATTCCATTCAGTTATCAGAGTCCAGAAGACCTTTGGGGTTCATCTAAGTTTTATTTGGTCCTTTCCACTACAGCAGCTCCCACAGGCTAATAGGCTGTTTACTTTTTACAAATGTCATCAGGGATGATCCCAGAAACTTCCTTATCATCTCCACCTACTTCCCTTCATCCATCTGGTTCTCAGGGTGCTGCTTGAAAAGATTACTCTTTGGCATGTGAACTAAGCTATCATCAAAAGTCTTCAAGCAGACTGCTTCTCATTAAGTCACTGATATTCTGACTGGATGACTGAGCCCTGGGGTCTACATGATTTTCATCTCTCCAGCATCTCATGCCAGAACCAAAGTTTTCTGGGTTGTCATTAACTGCAGACAAAACTGCCTGTTCACTCGAGAAGCTACTGATTAACATCTACCCACCATAATTTTGGTATTAATTATCTGGGAGAACTGGCTTCATTTGTCCAAATCCATTCATGGGAATTAAATCAAAATAATTATCTTGTGGGGTGGACGAGCCAAGTGAAGTCCTGAGTCAATGTGTATCGTTTTACATGGGCATGGCCAACGCCTCAGTCTCATGGACATGGCAAATCCTTCCTCAGGTGAGGCTCAGAGATAGCAAAGCCTTCCTCTGGTCCGAGTGTGAATGTTGACAGTGTGCAGAATATGTTCACCATTTCTCTCTCTCTCTCTCTCTCTC